TGGGTGGGGTTTTCCTCCAGATCGCTCTGGCCTGCTGACGTTGCCGGGTTACATAAAGAGGCTGGCTGTCCGGGGAAGGAAGTTCAGGAGAGCCCCGAGCTTCACGCTCGGCGGTTAAAAAGGGGAATTATTGTCAAAGTTTCTTAATAATTCAGTCGTTGATATAAACAAAGTCATTCGAGGTGGTTTGATGTGAAACGAGAAACGTGCCAACTCAGATTTCTTTACACTGGGAATTATAGGAACCCTTCGCTGGGGGCGATAAGCTGATTTAGAAACAGGCCTAAAGGGCCTCATTCACCAATAGACCACCGCAGTCGTGCGTCATTCTCTAGTCCTCGTTATGCCCATATTAGGAACGCAGGGTCTGCGCTCCATTTCTCTATGGGCAGAATAAATAGGGCTTTCCAAAAATCGCCTCTATCGCCCCCTGTGTTAGATAAAGATCTTCAGAACCCGATACATTTTGTCCTGTGTATATTTTTCTCCCGAATATCACTAAATCCTCCGAATTAATAGGTCGTAAAGAGCTATAATACTAATATTGCTACATGCGAGCTAAAGCTACTGCGCATCAATTTGATGTCACTAAGGCTGTGTTTACACAGCAGGTAAAAGTGGCCCAAATCCGATCTTTTTCCTCAAAGGTGACACAGATGTGTGTCTGTGTGTCAGTGTGAACAGAAAAAAACGCATTGAATCTGACAATTTCAATTCCGATTTGAGACGCTTTCATATATGGTACTGAAATCCGATACGTATCCGATCTGCGGAAATGCAACTCAGTCTAAACAGCCAGATCGGAATTCATGCGACTTTTCCGTCAGTCAAACTCGACATTCGTCATAATTTCGCGCTGCTGAGACTCATAAACATTTAGTCTGATGTTTCTGTACCAAAAAATTAGAAAAGACTCATCAAACCGCTCAGTAGCCACGTTTACATGCAGCCTGATAATCTGTTAATAATCCGACTAATAGCTCAATCGGAATAGAACACGTCCATGTGAACACCTCAATCGGAATAGACTAGTCCGATTGAGGCCATTCGGAATACAATTTCTATCCGATTGAACGAGGTTGGTAAACTTCTAAATAATCCGTTAAATAGAAGAATAATAGCCGTGTAAACGTCTGAATCAGATTACATTCCAATCGGAACGTGTAAGTATGTTCTGCGCATGTGCGTCGCGTCATAGTGAAAGTTTATACCGTTCAGCATGGCGGAGCAGAAACGGGTCTGCAGAGGAGACGAAGTTTATGCTCTGAGCTTTAAAAGACGGCGGTGGGACGGACGACCAGCTTATGAGTCTCAGAACACGACGTCTTCCTCTCGCCGCTTCCTTTATAAGCACATGTGAAGCACGTTTTCCTGAGTCTGACATCATTTTAAAGCAATTAAAACACAAGCGCGCCAACTGGAAACTCATATCACGCGGACTGGACCTCACGTGATGTTCGCTGTCATGGTAACGTTTACTCTAAACGCTACTCCACGCATGCGCGTCATTTTGCATCGGATTACTTGTAGTGAGCATGTAAACGAAGATTTTCCATCAAATCGTTGAATAGAGTGCATATAAACACCTCAGTCTGAATCTGTATTCAATCGGATTGGCAAAAATCTTTGCATGTAAACACAGCCAGTGTTAAAAGAGGTTTCAAACGAGTGCGGCCGGAGGAGACCGAGGCTGCAGCATCAGAGAACAGTTTAAAGAATCCGGCCTCCTCCGGCCGCGATCATTTGAAACCTCTTCGAACACGGAGCGGTTTGATAAACTCCTTATCAAAAACACTACTCCTGTTAATATCATGAGGCTGATTTCAGCTTCTTTTTTCGCAGTTTCTTGTTTGAATGTTCCCGTTCCTATTACAAACGTTAGCAAACGAGACACAATACTGACCTGTCGTTTCTGTAAAACAGCAAAAATAATTTAATGTTACTCGGCTGTTAAGCGGAAATAGAGAAACCTTCTTATATCAGGCCTTTCAACCCTCAACGAAGCTAAAGTCAGCTTCTTTTTCTCCGGCTGCTTGTTTGAATTTTCCCGTTCCACCTTAAATGGCGCAGCAGTTCAGAACGTGACTGCTGCACCATTTAAGAAGGAACGGAAAAGGTCGAACAAAAAGCTGGCGAATGTCCTGAGAAAATGTCCTTCACAGAACCGACAGGTCAGTATTTTGTCTCGTTTGCTAGTGTTTGTGATAGCTAGTCACAGCAGCTGCACCATTTAAGGTGGAACGGGAACATTCAAACAAGAAGCTGGTGAAAAAGAAGCTAAATTCAGCCTCGTAGTTTTAACACGGGTGGTGTTTTTGATAAGGAGTTTTATCAAAATGTCCCGCCTAGAGGTTTTATTTACGGTATACCTGTAATTAAGCGCCACTGTACAACATTTCGATAAGGTAGCACAGGTCGTCAGAGCACCGCCACAGCCCGCCTTAGTTTCGTGTAGCTTAGTGACATCAAATTGATGCGCAGTAGCTTTAGCTCGCATGTAGCAATATTATTATTATAGCTCTTTAACGACCTCGTAATTCGGAGGATCCAGTGATATTCGGGAGAAAAATATACACAGAACAAAATGTATCGGGTTCTGAAGATCTTTATTTAACACAGGGGGCGATAGAGGCGATTTTTGGAAAGCCCTATTCATTCTGCCCATAGACAAATGGAGCGCAGACCCGGCGTTCCTAATATGGGCATAACAAGGACTACAGAATGACGTACGACTACAGTGGTCTATACCTCCCTAAGTTTTTTCTTAAATGCGTTCTCGAGAAAAGTCCTAAGAAAAAGTCTACATTAGATTCATGACGTGTTCTTAAAGCACAGAACTGTTCTCACCTTTGTGCTCTTGAGTGTGTGTAGATTCCATTCTTACCTAAGAACAAATCCCACATAAGAAAACATTGGTGAACGTCAGAGTCTTCATGAAAACTGCGTAAGTGGGTTTTAAGAAGAAATTTCTTAAGAGCGGCTGGTGAACGAGGCCCAATGTTCTTTGGGTATAAACACTGTGGCTGTGGGTTTGGGGTGCCGGGAATTGCTAATACTTTTCATAAAACTATAGAGTAGCGATAGTACATTTAATTAAGTTATTCACACATAGGTAAATCGTTGTGTTCTTAAAACTGTTTTCATCATTTAAAGATCAACAAAGTGTGTTATTCGGTTTCCTTCCTTCCTATGCTTCTTCTATGATGGTCTTTATCATCTCTTTCCATTGTTGCACAACACTGCTTCAGATGGAAGCTGTGTTGTGCAACACTGGACAGGGGACTGCGTTAGCTCCATTCCTGTTCAACCTGCACACCTCCGACTTCAGGTACAACACTGAGTCATGTCATCTGCGGAAATTCTCGGATGACACGGCCATTTTGGGGTGCATGAGGAATGGACAGGAGGAGGAATACAGGAAGCTGGTGAGGGACTTTGTTGACTGGTGTAAGCTGAACCAGCTGCAGCGAAACATCAGTAAGACTAAGGAGACGGTGCTGGACTTTAGGAAGTCCAAACCTACCTTGTCACCATTCACCATTGATGGAGTTGATGTGGAGGTGGTTGGGACATACAGATATCTGGGTGTGCACTTGGACAACAAGCTGGACTGGAGCTGTAACACTCTCGCAGCGTACAAGAGAGGCCAAAGCTGTCTCTACTTCCTGAGGAGGCTGAGGTCTTTTGGTGTGTGCATTAAGCTCCTATGGACTCTACCAGTCTGTTGGTAGTGAGTCATATATTCTCTGCTGTTGTGTTCTGGAGCAGCAGCATTAACTAAAGTGCTCTGAACAAAATAAACTTATTAGGAAGGCTGGCTCTGTTGTGGGAGTCAAGCTGGACTCTTTGGAGGTTGTGGCAGAACAGAGGACGCTCAACAAGCTGTTAGCCATCTTGGACAACACCCTCTGCATGCTACACTGGATAAACAGAGAAGCTCCTTCAGTGACTGTGTTAAAGAGCGCTGTGTGAGATCTTTCTTACCCACTGATATACGGCTCTACAACGAGTCTCCTTACTGCAGAGACGGTACTGATCTCCTGCTGTCTGAACTGAGCTGAACCTCATCACTACATCACCTCTCCTGTTAATACACACTGTGCAATATATCATATTATAACTACTACTGTAATGACACTTTCACTATGCACTTTACACTGTAATATCGATGCAACTCCGGGTCAGTTATGTCTATAATCATTGTGCTTTTAGTTTACCTCACACCACAAATCTGTCTCATATGCCATGTAAATATGCAAATAGATATACTTTTTTTTTATTTCTCTTGTACTTTATGTACTTACGTCTATATTTCTATTCTCTATTTTTCTGCATAGTATACATACATACATCATCTAAACCGCTTATCCTTCTGGGTCGCGGTGGGGTGCTGGAGCCTATCCCAGCTGTCATTGGGCGGAAGGCAGGATACACCCTGGACAGGTCGCCAATCCAGCGCAGGGCATGCATAGTATATGTAAGTTTATTATATGTTTTCCTACTGAAACACTGCAATTTCCCCTCAGGATCAATAAAGTTCTGTCTATCTATCTATCTATCTATCTATCTATCTATCTTAAAAAAAAACTTTTTCATTTTAATAATCCAGTTCAATTTATGCAAAAAAAGCCAATATTTTTTAATTATTTAAATCAAATAATGATATGTATATAGAATAATTTAAATAATTAATAATTAGAAAAAGTAGAACATGCTTCTGGTCATTTTCCCATATTCCCATATTCCCATATTCCTGTTTTTGGAATTCCTGTTTTTTTTGTAACACGGTAAAATAATTGCCAGCAGCGCCTCCTACTGTTCAGTCAGCATCATGCAGCCTCGTCTGGATAAAGGAATGCTGGGAAATTTACGGCTAAGTAGACCAGCGCCGGTTTATGAGGAGCCTGGCCACTTCCTATTCCCCCCAGTATATCAAAAACAGGACTGCTAAACAGCAGAGGGCGCTCGCGAGGGAGTGAATGGGAGTGAATGGAGCTCAA